TTCTCTAGGATGTGGTTGTGACTGCCAAGGAGCAAGAATTCAGCAAGTATCGATCAGGTTGTTTTAAATTTGAGGTGAATTGTGCTGTGTGTGAGAGGTTTCTTTTTTGTTTGTTTGTTTCCCATCATCCCTCACCATTTCTCCACTGCCTATGCACTGTCAAAAGTGTTGGGTATAGACTCACAAAAACCTGATTCTGTTTCCTCATGATGGCAGAGAGATGACCCTGGGTTTACAAGGACAATGCCAATGGAGCAAATTAGCTACAACAGTGCACATAGTAGGAGCATAGTAAATGGTTACCTCACAGTTGGGGAGTCTTTTCATATGGGCCTGGTGATTGGTTCTGAGGGTGAACCTAGCTAAGCCCAGAGAGGCTCATAACTGGATGGTTGGCCTTCTTCCTTCCAACTGCGGTAAATCATGATGACTTGCAATACTTTCAAGCAAGGTAGATTTGATGTCAATTAGTACAGTTTGCCCTTTATTCTCAGCTATTTTTTCTCAATAATAATTGATACATCTAATCTTTCAGATATTTAAAAACATTCTAAATGAGAATAATGTCTGAAGGTCACCTTGAGTGGTCTAGTCAAACCAGCATCTCCATATAATGCCCCAGATCTCACAGTCATGGCGAGGGAATTTTTCTTTTTGATGAGTGCAGCTACTGTCACCAGCTGTGTGGGCCAAGTTTGTCTTTTGCCACTTCTTCTTCTGTATTTGCACCTAGTTGCCAAAGGTTTAATAGAATATAAGCTTGTTGAGGACAGGGAAAACTTTGGTTTGTGTCTATACTGCCTAGCATGTAACTCTTAAAAGCCTGGCAAATTCCTTCATATTTTCCTCTGCCTGTCCAAACCTATCCCCTTCACCCAATTGGCAACACATACAGATAAGGGGAGGGGGGGGCGGTTTCCTCTGCTTCAAACTTATTCCTGCCTCCTTTATTTTTTCAAATCATAATTTCTAGTCTCAATGTAACAAAATCCACCTTCCATTAAGAAAGGCTGATTAATTTATACAGAGTTGTGACTTCTGTTCCTTCCAGAAACCACTAGCATTTTAAAAGAAGAACTTATATGTAAATCCATATAAATATCGAACTTCTGGAATGTCAATTAGTGACATTTGTACAAAGAAGGTTTCCTGAGTATTCTTTGCTTATTCTAAGGGTATTAGCTTCCCCAACTCCTATATGTGCCCTTAAAAAAGAGGGGGGAGGGATCAACAAATTGGAACCCTTGTATTTCTAGACTACTTTTCTATGAGTCATTCAATGACTTCAAGTTGGTCTATGGATTAGAGCCTATTTTTTTTTCTCCCTAGCTAGTCTTCTATCCCCAATCTATTCTACACACTTCCACCAAAATAATTTTCCTAAGGTAGGAATCTGATCATGCCATCTCCCTGCTCAGAAACCTTTGGGAATTCCACATTGTCTTTAGGCTAAAATACAAATGACTTAGCTAGGTATTTAAAGTCCTCAACAATTTAGTTTTCACCTAGACGCGATGTAGCATAGTGGAAAGAGCCCCAAATTTGGTCTCAGTAACTGACGTCACATCTAGTTTCTAGCACATACCACCTTGTGTGATCTTAGACAAATCTCTTAACATCATCGGTTTCCCATCTGTAAAAATGAGAGGTTTGGCTAAATGAACTCCTAGGTCCCTTCCAGTTCTAAATGTATGATCTTACCTTCCCAGAACTTATTTCACATTCTTCCCCTTAATAAACTGTATTTCAGTCAAACTAGACTACGAGCCATTCATTCCCTGAACTCTATATCCTTTCTCCTGACTGGGTGCATTTGTGAAAGCCATCCCGCATGCCTGTAAATGTAGTCCTTTCTCATTTCTACCTCTCCTCTATCTTCAAGGCTAAGCTAGCTTTGCTACTTCTTCTGGATAGCCTTTTCAGTCTTCCCCCACTCCAATTAATGTTCTTGACTGCCTCAGTTTTTCATGTATTAAAATTGTCTACATATTGCATACCCCAGGAGAATCTAAGCTCCTTGAACGCATTTTTTTTTCTATTTTACAGATGAGGAAATTGAAGCTTAGAGGTTAAGTGGCATGCAGAGGGTCCCATAGTTAGTAAATAGGACAGGATTTGAACCCAGATCATTCTAACTCCAAGTCTGGCACTCTGTTCTCTATACCATGGGGCCTGTTTCATATAGTGTGTCATACATAGTGGCCACTTAAAAATTGTTAAAATTGGATAATACTATATGACTTGGAACGTAATTGTCTTCTTCATTTATAAACTTGAAAAAGACTGAAGCGAACTTGCTTACATCCAGACAGAGGAATAACTCAAAGAACATGTGTAGAAAAATCGCAACTATTTTGTCTACAAGATGTCATTGTGTTAGGGGAGGAGGAACAGTGTAGGGACCCCTCATTAATGCTATTTGCAATGTGATTTTTGTTGCTAGCCAAACTTGAAATCAGAACTGAGTTTGAGTCCTAAATTCATCACTTACCAGTTGTGTGACCTTGGAAAATTACTCTGAACCTGTCTTCATCTTCAGGATGGAAAGATAACATGTGGGGCTATTCTAGGCATTAAAAGGAGTTAGCTATTCATAGAGAGAGATGTAAATACAGGTCTTTCTGTCTGTTTCTGTCACTCTCTATCTTTGTCTCTTTATCTGTGTCCCTCTTCTTTTTTCTCTCCCCTTTCTCTTTCTATATAACTTATTAACATACATATATACATATAGGTGTATGTGTGTATGTAATCTTGCCTTTGGAAAATGTGATATTTTTGCCTTTGGAACTGTAAAATGCTATATAAATTTGAATTTATACTATTCCATTAATAATTGCTGCTCCAATTATCTTTTTATTCTCTAACTTATTTCCTAAACTCTAGAAATGATTGAAAAGCTTTATGGGAAAGGGCCAAAGTCCTTGTCTGCTCAGTCTCTGGGCCCTCGTGAGCAAGCCTTTCACAGCCATAGCTGCCAGCTGCAGAGTCATGGAGGGGGCAGTGCTGCCAGCCTTGGGCCCTGCTGGAATCTGGCCATCATGCAGGAGCAGGCCAGACAGAGCCTTTTGCATCTTTGTTTGTGTTTGGTTTAATGATTTAATCGCTGAGCTGTTCTGCCCGAGTTTCCATGTAAAACACAATTCATGTGAACCTCTGTCCAAACAACCCCACAAAACCCTTTTTTTGTCTTCATGAAAAAACAGGTTTTGTCGGCTTTTTCTGGACTTTGATAATCTGTTCAATCCTGGGGTCAGAAAGACCTGAGTTCAAATGTGTCCTCAAACATTTACTATCTGTATGACCCTGAGCAAGTTACTTAACCTCTGCCTGCCTCAGTTACCCCATCTGTAAAATAGGGACAATAATAGCACTTACCTCATAGGGTTGTGATGAGGATCTAATGAGATCATTGGGAAGTGTTTAGTACAGTGCCTAGCACATAATAAGCACTATATAAATGTTAGCTATTCTCATGTACGCTCCAACAGTACTGAGCAGATGGTAGGTAATAAATAAATCTTTATTGGGGTATTAGAAAATCTGTGTTGTACATCCTGTCCAAAGGTCATCTATACCTTTTCTCCTTAATATGGATATGTACCTAGTAAGAACATTATAAAAACACAGATCTACTTTTTATTGCTATTTTCACATAACCAAGACTCTTATTTAATTCTGTGAAGACTCACTAAGTATTTACTCTGTGCATAGCCCTTTGTAAGAGAAAATACAAAATTTAGAGAACATACTATTCCTGCCCTCATGGAGCTAGACTAGAAGTCTAGCAAGATATTACGCATACCTAGTTAACTAGAATACTACAATATATAATGAACGTAAAACAAAATACTACGTAATATTGTAGATAGCCGAGGTCATTGTCATCTGAAGAACGCAGAAAAGGTGTCAGGGAAGATGTGAAATTTGAATTGAGCTTTAAAAGATAGATGGGAATTCACCAGGCAGAGAAGGGGAAATTGGTCACTCCAGGCATAGGGAATATAATGAAGGGTACAATGGAGATAAAGTACAGCATGTTTGAGGGTACAATCCTAGATGACTGAAATGCAGAGTTCATGGAGGAAAGTAGTAAAATAAAAATGTATACTATTTTGTCCTAATTTCATAGGTCAGTAACTCTCTATTACTTGGTCTTAGAATTACCCAGAGTACTGCAAGTTTATGACCTGTCCTTGGTCCCACAGCTGGTATATATAAAAGAGCAAACCTGAACTCGGGTCTTCTGGGTTGGTCTTTCCACTTTATCATATTGCCTCTCCTTCATATATGTTTCTGTGTGTATATACAAGTGTGTAGTATTTCCATACAACTTTAAAGTGTATAAAGCACTCTCTTTAAACCCAGCACCCTGTAAGGTAAGTAGAAGTTGCATCTTATTTTTTATAGATGATAACCAAGACAGAGGGGTTGTGTGATTTGCCCACAAACACACAGCTAGTAAGTAGAGTCAGTATTCAAGGTTAGGTCTCTTGATCCCAAGTTCATGTTGCCATTCACGTTATCGCCTCAATGCTATTGAAGATCCTTATCCCAGATAAGAAAGTTCCCATCACCAAATTCCTTGGCAGTGTCCAATCATTCATCAGAATTATATGTGGTTTTATCAGTGAAAATGACATTAAATATATCCGCTTTACCACTGCACTCCAAATTCCCTAGCCCTTTCTACCTGAAACCTCCTACCTGTGTTACCTACCCCTATTAGAATGTCAGCTGTTTGAGAGCAAGTAGTAGCTTGGCTTTTTATTTGTATCCTCAGGGCTTAGCACAGTATGTTACATGTAGTCAGTGCTTAAATGCTTTTTTTATAAATAATACATTTATTCAATAATAAAAATAAATTTATCCATTCATTCTTCCATTATATGAAAATTGGTTCAAACTTCATCTTTTATCCCTCCCCAATGCCTCATCCAACTACACTGAGAACTGGACTGTTGTTCTTTATCATCCTAATGGTGTGCTTCTTTTTCCAACAGTGCCAAGATGGCAGTCCTCTCAAAGGAATATGGTTTTGTGATTCTCACTGGTGCTGCCAGTTTCATATTGGTCACTCATCTTGCCATCAATGTAGGCAAGGCCAGGAAGAAGTACAAGGTGGAGGTGAGTGAAGGGTATGAGCTGGTCCTTTTTACAGGCTAGCCTCTGGCTCTTGGGAGGGGGGGAGGAGCAGGCTAGCAAATGTGGCAACTTTTGCAAGGATACATTACCATTGGATATTATGACAGAGAAAAAGTAGGAAGAGTGAAACACTTGGTGACCTCAAGATAGGATTGAATGTTTTTATCTGCCATTTGGAACGCATCCAATATGGTAACATGTAACAGAGGACCTGGATTCAAATCTCGTCTCTCCACTTAACCTATGTGACCCTGGGCAAATAATTTTACCTCCCAATGTTCTCATTTGTATAAATGAAATATGGTACTGTGATTATATTTTTATGGATCTGCAGTTAACAAGGCTGTAAGCCAAATATATTTTTAAAGTGTGATTCATAATTCTGCAATCAGTCAGCATGCATTTATTAAGTGCCTGCATATGCTAGGCTTAGTGCTAGGTGCCAAGCTTCAATACCCTACTCAGAAAATAGCTTCATTAAGTTGTTTTGGAATAATGAAGTATGAATCAGTGAAACTACATTTCAGTCTGAGATGGGAAATTATGCCTGTTGATCCATTGCCAGGATCACCTGATAGCAAAACTGATATTTGAGAGCACTGGACCTGGAGTTAGCAAAAACCAGTTCCAGACCCAGCTCTGACACTTGCCAGCTGGATGTCATCAGGTCAATCTCTGGGCTTGTTTTTTCTATCTCTAAAATTGGAAGAAAAAAATAATGCTAGCACTAACCACAAGGTTGTTGTGAGGTGAGTGTTTTGTTTTTTAATAGATTTTTAATTGATCTGTTTTATTTTTATAGAGCCCAGATTGTCCCTTTCACTTCCAGAGAGTCACCCCTTTTAACCAATAAATAAATAAATATTTTTTTTTAAAAAAGGAAGAAAGAGAAAAATATTCAGCAAAGGCAAGCAATATATTGGGGAGAAATCTGACATATGCTATGTTTCACACCAGCAAATAAAGCAACCTCTCACACCCCTCACAAAGGAGTAGGGAGAAGTAACTTCTGCTATCTCTTCTTTGGAGGAAAACGCTTTATAAACCATAAAGCATGTAATAAATATGAGTCATCCTCAGTATTAGTTTTAATCTCCCTAGAAGAATTGATGTTTGTTCCCTCACTATCTACCATAGTGCTCTGTGCCAGGGGACCTAACAAACGTCTGAAGCCCAGCTAGCATTCCTCAGGCAGTTCGTAACAAAAGAGTAGAAACTGGGCAGGGTTCTGCCCACCCCTGCTCTCAAACTCATATGTTGACCTTGCTTCAAGAATTTAAAATAGGGAAATTTTGACTAACGTGTGAAGCTAGCTAGCCTCAATGAGTCAGCTTTGTACTAGAAGGAATTGTGGGCAAGTAAACTCTAATCACTGTATGGAAGCCAACTCCCCAAAGTGCCTGCCCTGGGAGAAGGGTGTGGTGAAAGCAGCTTGGAACCTCCCCTGCCAACCTTACCCTGCAAAAGAATTTGTAGCCATAGTTCAGATAGTAAATGGTAGCATCTTAAAACTGCCCTAGGAATGGCATCAGCTCTGTGCCCCCCCCCCACACACACACACATGCTGTGCAAAATCCAGGATAGCAAACATATTTGTACCATACACCAAAGATGCATACTGACTATACATGTTGGGGGAGTGGGGAGGATTCTGCTCTAGATCATACTAGAGGCAGCAATAGTATTGCTTTAACACAGTTTCCCAGACTTTACTAGTGATGTCTATTTTCTGAAATCATTGATGTGTAAGTGATGATTTGGTATTCCAAAAGTCTTAAGTTAAAAGCTTAAAGCTACATTAAGACTTACATTACTACATTAAGACTACATTAAGGCTGATTCTCTGTTTCACTATCCTCAGGATAAAGATGAGGAATTTAAGTAACTGAGATGTTAATTAACTCACTTATCCAACAACATTAAGTAGCAAAGCTGAATGTTTTCCATCTTTCTAAAGAAAGTCATCAGTTGGTGGGGGATGGTATATTTTTCATTTGAAGGAAAAAATCAAAGTAGTCAAAACTATCACTCTTTGTTCTAGTTTTTTTTCTCTCCCACACTTTCATACCTCTAGTCTTTACTTTTAACTTAATTGACTTTGCTACTTAGCTTTTTAAACCTTTCCTAATAGAAGATTTAACATTTTAAATTGCAATATAGATATTGATTTTATTATACTTAAAGGAAAAGAAAGTCATGCATAATGGAGATTCATAGCTTCATGTACAATCATTCCTTTTCTTTCTACTTTGGCATATGGAAATACTCCTTTATTTGATGTTTAAATTTAGAATTAAATGGAATAAAATTCCTTTCCTCTTTCCCCCTCGCCCCCAAAAAAATGCAAATAGGCTTGTGATGAGGTAATGAAAGCTCTTATATTTTGAGGAAGATTCCCTCTGGTATAACACTTAACTGTCCAAGGAAGAGAGTTCTATTCTCAAGCCCTTAACTCCATGTTCTTCTCTACAAATGGTAGCACCTCCTACTTTATTAAAATGATCAGCACCATTAGACCTGAGCTCTTTCAACTCCTTTCTTACTTGATTTGTTTCTCTGTATCTTTACCCATTCTCTTTTCCTTTCCTCCTGTCTCAGAAAAAAGGCTTCCTTCCTTTCCAGGGCTAACCCCAACACTTATGTCCTTGATTTCATTACCTATAACTTCCCCCAAAATTTTGTTCTACCCAGCTTTGACCCTCACTACCTCTGGCCTGAACAGTAGTTATTGTCTCCTAACTTGGCTCCCTGGCTCTAGTTTTATATCTTCCCTTTTAGACATTAAACCTCCTAGAATCTGGGGCTGTCACTTTCTGTATATCACCATCAAAGCCTAGTACAATCCCTTGCACAATAAAGACCAAAAGAACGGCCAGTCTTTGAACAATATCTGGAATCTAAGGTTATGTTACATCATTTTAAAATTATGTTATTTGCCAGATTTAAACTCCTTTTACCAACCCCACTCCCTTGCTCTAAGGCTAGCACTGACCCAAAGCTTTGTTTCTTTCTGGTTAACATAGGACAGATTAGCTCTCACTTAAAAATTAGTGAGTTTTCCATGACTAGAAATATCTAAGCAAAGACTAGATCAATAAATATGCTGAAGATAGAAGGACAAAAATAAAAGTCTCTGCCCTCAAGGAGTTTATATTCTACCAAGAAGCAACATGTATCTGTGTAAATAAATACGAAGTAACTGGAGGAGGGGGGCTACCTTGGGAAAAGCCTCTTGTCTGAGCCTTGAAGTAAACAAAGCTTACTTAGGAAGAACTGGAGGTGAGGAGGGGTTGTGTTCCAGTCATGGGTTTGAATATCTGTCAAAAATACCTTAGAAAGTTTGCCTTAAATTATGTGAACCTGTGATATTGGGGCTAACATGTGCTTTGTGTTTGTTTTAGTATCCCATCATGTACAGCACCGATCCTGAAAACGGGCACATTTTCAACTGCATTCAGCGAGCCCACCAGAATACGTGAGTATGGGTTCTAACGTTTGTGCATGAAGCTCTGGTTTTTGTCCCTGTCAGGCAGAGAAATTTCTAAAGTCCTGAGCATTCTGCCTCCTATTCCAAAATCTCCTTTTGAGATCCTAGAATCTCTAGAGTTATGCCAATGGATCATAAGCACTGGCAGGTCCTACCAGGCTAGAAAAGCTTTAATCATGAGCCCAGCAAGAGACTGTGTGTCAAAAATATTGAAATCAGTATGCGCAATAAGGTTTATTTTTGCCCTCTGATCTTTTTGTGAACAATGACTTCTCAGTGCCAAGTGAGAGCAGTACAATCATGGAAACTGTTTCTAGGTAGGCATAGGCACTCTGATGAGAATAGCTATGGGGGATCAAATCCAGTGTTGGTTCCAAAAGACTGATATTGGAGCACAGTTTAGGCATAACAGCAGAGACTTGGTGGACTTTGGGTATATGTTACTCTATCAATCACAGTTGCTGTATGGGGAAGTTCTGCTTAATTTTTGGTAAGTGTGAAGGAGGGTACTACGGGTACATATTTATTGGCAAGTGCTGTAATGTATGTGGGCGGGGAGGGGTGCATCAATAAACATTTTCTTAAAGATAAAAAAAGGAATAGTTGCCAAGAAAGTAGGACACCAGGGATCAGAACTCCCTGAAAACTTTTGACCAGATGAGATTCCGAATGTAAATTTGTATAGCACCTTTCTTTAGCATAGTGTGAGTAGACCTTGATTCCCTACAAAGCTGGAGGGAAAGAGTGACTTCTAAACCTTCTGGGTGGCTGCCAGTGGTTTAATCTATCCTTTGCAACCCATTGTTTGGTGGTTGGGTTTTGTTTTTTTTAATCGAGGGAGGGGGGAGGGGGAGAGGGGGGAAAGGGAAGGAAGGAGAGGGTCAAGATGTTCTACTGTGGAAAATATGTTAAACAAGACTTTCATTTCTGAAGCAGAATTAATGTTAATGTGTTTGTATTTCAGATTGGAAATGTATCCTTCTTATTTATTCTTTCTAGCTGTTGGAGGCATTTACCATCCTGTAAGTAGTATTTTCCTTTTATTTATTTTTATAAATGTATTATCTTGGGGCAGCTAAATGGCACAATAGATAGAGTACTAGCCCTGGAGTCAGGAGGACCTGAGTTCAAATCCAGCCTCAGAAATATAACATTCACTAACTGTCACTGTGGGCAAGTCACTTAACCCCAATTGCCTCACAAAAAAAAAAAAAGTATTATCTCTGTATCCTGCTGCCCTCCCCTAACTGAACAATAAAAAAAAAAAAGCTAACAAATATGCATAAACCAGCAAAACAAGTTTCCACATTGGTCATGTCCGAAAATATGTCTCATTCTCTCTTTTAAGTCTATCATCTCTGAATCAGGAGCTTCATCTTCAGTCCTCTGAACTCATGGTTTACCATTGCATTTGATCAAAGCTCTAAAGTCTCTCAAAGTCATTTTATAGTTTGTTGTCATTGTAAAAATTACTCTATTCATTTTTACACATTTCACTCTACATTAGTTCTTGGAGGTCTGCCCAGTTTCCTGTGAGATTGTCCATTGTTCATTGTACAATAATATCCCATTACATTAGTATGCCATGATTTGCTTAGCTATTCCCAAAACATGGGCTCTCCCTTAGTTTCCAATTCTTTGCAATACCCCCCTCAAAAAAAGAGCTGCTATAAATATTTTCATACATATAGGGCCTTTTCCTCTTTCTTTGATTTTTTTGGGGGGGTAAGAGGCCCAATGGTAGTAGTATAACTGGATAAAAGTGCACTTCTCGGGGTGGGGGGGGAGAAGAGATTCAAATTGCTCTCCAGAATGCTCCATCAATTCACAGCTTCCTGCAGCCCCTCCAGAATTTGTCATTTTTGCCATTCTAGGTATGAGGCGGAACCTCAGAGTTTCTTTAATTTACTTTTCTCTAATTATTAGTGATTTGGAGTGTTTTTAATATAGTTGTTGAAAACTATTAATATTCTTTGACCATTTTTCTATTGGGGAATCACCATTCCCCAGTCTTTTAAATTAAAGTCTTATACATTTGAATTAGTGCCTGTTATAGAGTGTCCC